TGAATTCTCTTGCTCACTTGCCTAGAAAACGCATCTCCCCTCTGTGTACTTTGGTTGATTTTTAGTTTTGATTATGCATTATCGATCTCTGCGTTTGTAATTTCTTGTGTTTACTATTTGTTTTGTTCCACCCTTACAGTAGAAATCTAGAGATTCGAGAAGTTTTTTTTTTTTTAAAATAGATTATTTTTATCGAAATAGGGGTATAAGAACATAAATCCAACATAAAACAAGTGTCTCTGTATTCACAAAACTATCTAAACAGGAAGGGGAAAATAAACCCACCATCCAAACCCCAAACTGACTTGTTGACACCTATGCTTTTAAAATGTTTCAACAATGTTCTTAAGGGTGGTGAACCCCAGTGTCATGGAGACAGGCTATAATATTTGGGATTCCAAAGAGGTGAAAGGAAAGGTCAGAATGTAGCTCATACAGACCTGTTATAGATTATAGATTATTTGCCTCAATAATTGCAAAACTAAAAAATATGATTCTTGACCTGATTGACACCCAAACAAAATGTATTAAAAGCAGGCAGAACACAAGATAATGTGAGGCGAGTTTTAAATCTCTAGCAATTAGCCTGATGCAGAAAAGGCTTTTGACTCTGTGCAATGGGAGTATTTGTATCTTGTATTACAGCGTTTCGGTTTTAATGATGAAGTCATACTAACTTTGTATCAATAAATTCCATAAGTATTGGTCCAAATGGTGTATACACATGAATATAGATACTATATAGAAAAAAGGGAAGGTAAAATGTTAGATTTTTTATTTGTTCTATTTACTTGTTGTTTTCTACAAATGATAATAATAATAATAATAATAATAATGTATTTGTCCTCTTCTATGCTCTCCTTTCTCTTGGTTGCGGTCTACTAGTACAATCATATACATAATTCCTTCATAACCTTATTACTGTGATGTATTTGTTTAAAGGTCTCATACTGGGTTTCTCTCTGATTATATTCAAGAATTTCAAAGACCACAGGGAGACACATTAGGTCTGTGGAGAATGCATGAGACCTTTATTGTTAGTGTTTTTAACAAAACTGTTTTAAACTTGGATCGACTGAGTGCTGTAGTACTGAGTTCTAAGGTAATAGACTTACCAGACGCCCAGAATGACGGCCTGCTCCTCTGCACTGAGGTCAGGCAGCTCATACTGATCTGGCTCTGCCAAATTGATCTTATCCAGCACGGTGTCATCACCCAGACTATAGTCCTGCATAGAAAAACACAGAGTCAGATGTGTACACACATGTTGCAGCCATAACCATGGCACATGAAAACAACTGCTGCCAAGTAAGTCAGTATGCTTTAGTACCACTAGTTCTCAAACTATGGTACATGTATCACTGGTGCCTCCTGCATGGACTGTTTGTAGCTCAATAGGGTCGGCCTACGCTGCTGTATTTTAACGTTGGCACTTGGAGAGCCTGATATTTTTTGAGGTGGGAGGCAGTGTAAAAAGTTTGAGAAACACTGGACTGAGCATTACATATTTGACACGACTTGCAGCTACAAACTTTATGGAAAAAACTACAACCATAGAGTGGTTTTGCAAACTGTCATTTTTAAGAAAATAAAACAATTGGGGTAGCTTGAATATTAAAAAATGTGGACTTGTGAAGGATGTCTCATGTCACACAACTCTTGTTCACCTACACAGCGCATTGTCTGCTGATCTACACTCAGGTCTCAGCAATGTAGACAGAGTGCCTCTTAGTATAGTATACTCATTATTCAGCCTGTTGGTTGTTGGCTGAGTAATCAGTTAAGTTGTTGTAAACTGCACTTACCTTTAACCTGAGAGAGCCAGGGGTCAAACTGACTACCCAAATGTAAGGCATTCAGAACTTTAGGACTGAATGGAGTATAACAGTCAATAACAGTTCAGTGCGCTCCTCTGAACTAATTTTGGCAAAATAGTACATGGCAAATGGACCTGTACTTGTATAGTGCCTTTCTAGTCTTCCGACCACCCAAAGCACTTTTAGACTACGTGCCACATTCGCCCTTTCACACACATTCACTCAGGGATCGAACCAACAAGCTTCTGATTAGGGGACGACCCGCTCTGCCTCTGCGCGACAGGCAAACATATTGATGCAAAAAGAGCAAACTCATTCCAAACCATGTGTTCAATGTGTTACATGCACCAGCACCAAGAACTCTGACTTGCTTTCAGACCCACAGTGACAGAAATGGCCCAATTTCCCTGCTGGCTGTGGTTTTTAAATTGGCCAGTGATAAAGAATTCTTTCTTTGTCCCTTTCTGCTTCTATTCATTCTAGAGAAGAAGTCAGTGAGCTCTAGGTAATGACAGCCTCAATTGAGCCGGTTCCTCCAGTAACGATGGCGTTAGTGGCTCAGCAAAGGAAGTGGAGCTTGGCCACATCCCTAAGCCATGAGAGCTTCATGGACACAGTTCAGCAAAGGCTTTGGAAATTTCTGAAAATAGCCAATCAATCCTGATCTCTAGCACTAACTTAACACCATATTAGAATTGTATGGCCTGAGTTCCTTTATTGCTACTAAGAAGGTGAAATGTGAATGTTAGCACAATATCCCAAAAAATATTGTACAGATTTCAAGGAAATATAATTTAGTTAGACCATGGGCCATGAAATATTTGACTACTTTGTGGTGCAGAGGGTGCCTCCATGTGACCATATATAAAGCACTTTATGTTTTGAACCATAACTCGAGAACACAAAAATTAAACATTTCTTTCTTTCTGGGTTGTCGCTTCAAGTCCAACACAAACCACAATATGGAGTGGACTGGAGAGATGCCAGTTCCACCTTCATGAGTACTGCTGAGGTGCCTTGAAGCAAAGCACTAAACATCTAACTGCTCCCAGGGCGCTGCCAATGTGGCAGCCAACACTCCACTGTCTCACGGGATTAAAATAAATCTTTCTTCTTGTATTCTTTAGTTCAAGATACATTTTTCAAATCCTCATCCAGTCATCCAAATGTGTGCTGAGTGCCAGAGCCAGAAACAGTCGTTAGCATCATTCTGTTCTTAGTTTCCCTCATCCCCCTCTTTTTCTTCAGTAACATTTTTTCGCCTGTTTTCATCGGTTATGTATTTACATCAGAGCATTTGTGTTTTCCGTGTTTTAAATGTAGGCTAATATATGGCTAGCTAAAACATATGCCCGGTAGTTGTTCTAAATTACTGGAATTCTGGAATATTGGCAACTAAAGGAGGCATTTTTATCAGATAGCCGGACCAACTCAACTCCAAGCTCCCTCCGAATGTCTGAGCTCCTCTCCTTATCGCTAAGAGGGAGTCCAGCCATTCTAAAGATGAAACTAATTTAATCAGCTTGTAACCCCTAAGACTGTGACTATAGGTGAGGGTTGTTGTCAACATTCTGCTAACATCCTTAGTTCTTAGTCTGGGGCAACATAAACATACATTATATTAGGCATTTGAATTGACAACAGATGCCGTCCCTTTTATTAAGACAATTACTCAATTTTACGTAATAGGACAAACAATTTTATACGGCTGAAGGAGTATATATATCACTAAAATGTTGCACAATTGAGTACTATTAATGGACATTATTTAAATGTTTAGGATTGTGCAGCCTTGGTGGACATTATTAGTGTGCCTGCAAAG